TTGAATCTCACTTTAAGAGAAATGCAGAATATTAAGCAGAGAGGTCTGGGGAAATGCAAGTGGATGCTGTATGAGAACAGACCCTTTGACAACCACCCCAGACCCAGCCCTGATTCGTGCTGGGGATGCTCCATATGGAGGTGCCAACACCAAGACAGCCAGGAGGATCACAGCCCAACAGCATCCTAACATAAGGCCCTTGAAGATACCAGTGAAAAGTGAATATACTCTTCCATGAAAAGTGAGCATTCCCTTCTGTTAAATGTGGATGTTCCCTAACCATACGCTTTTTTAAATATCATTATGAAATACCGGTGCTCCCTCAGTGACAGCCAGAGGCAATGGCTTCTGCAGTTGTAGAAATAATAATAACAAATACGAGCATAAGGCTAGGTTTGTTGAGGGGCGTGATCCGACAGAGCTCCATACACAGTTTGCTGTCTTTTCCCTCCACCATCCTGTTTTGCCTTAGTCGTGCACTTGGACTAAAAAATCCCAATCCTGTCAGTAACATCTCCCAGGCAGGGGAACGCCACGCCAGCGCCTGTGCCCCAACTCATGCCATGCCCACGATCACCCTGATTTGGGCTCCATCCTCATGAAGCTGATTTACTGAAACAGCACCGCGTGAAGGTCACGCCGGAGCTAGTCAAACAGGGTGAAGAATGTCCTTCGCTCATTGAACGCTCATTTGAATTTTTAATGGCTTTGCTCCGGCGTTGTTCACACCCCCTCTGCCGTTAGCAGAGCGATCGCGTTTCAGCAGTACAAATGCTTGCAGAAAACACATTTCAAAAGTTTCCCGTGCATCCACCAAGGGAACCCCGGCTGCCACAGACACGCACACACACCTATTTGCACAAGGAGCGTGCTGCTGGTGCGACAGGCAGGTACCATGGTCGACACGTGTGCTGTATCTGACCGACCATACAGCTCAGCAAGAGAAACCATTTGCAGCCAGGCCACCCTGATATTCATTTAAAGGAACCGCTGGAGCGTTCCAGAGAACAAGTACATTTGAGAAAATGATGCTCCGCTCATGGATGTTCCACGAGCAGAAGAGAATGCGTTTGACAAATAAATTATTTGTTATGAATCCTTTGCTCAGTTCTAGTCAGCACATACAAAGGAAAATAACACAGGAGGTATAATGTTAAATAAGCCTATGATCATCGTTTTAATTTTTTTAGACCACTGTTCCTAAATGCGTTATTAATTTCATTGAGTACTTAAGATTACTGCCATGACGTTGCTTCAGATTTTATCCATGGGCTTACCAGGACCAGAAGAACCACATCTCCAACCATCTCCTGGAAGACTCAGGACGCAGAGCCCCACACAGGTTCTCTTGGACTTAGCCTAAGACTCGACATGAGGCAAAAGCACATCCTGCAGGAAAGCCCTGGTTTGGACTCAAAGTCAGGCAGTGCCCAGGAGTCTGCTGCTTCCTTACAGAGCTGCTGGGGCAGTCACCACTGCGGGGACACTGGGACCTTCAGGAGAGGATGCGCAAAGGAAGGGGATGGAGAGGGAAAGTGGAAAGTCAGGGGGCTCCCGGGTGAGTCCAAAAGCCTCAAAAATCCTCTGGAGGTCTTGAAGGAGCCAAGATGACAACACAACGGGACAGGAATGAATGGGACGGAGGCGGTACAGATGGAGACCTGTAGAGCAAGCATGGGGCAGGTGGGCTCCATGCAGCCACATGGTCCAGGCAACGTGGGCCTGGGACACAACAGGGCCCAGGGAAAGGAGCTGGCTGTAGGGGGGGATAGTAGAAGAGAAATAAAGGTGAGCCACCTTTACCTAAAACTGCTCTCCTCTGTGAGTAAAGAAAACCATGTTAATTAAAAAAAAAAAAAAAAAACTAGTAAGGAATTAGAAAATAATGCCAACCGAATCTATAAAAAAAAAAAAAAAAAAAAAAAAAAAAAAAAAGATTTATAAAAGTCTTTTATGAATTATTATGCATTAAATGTATGGAAAAAGGGCCAGCTCTGCCCACCCATGGGCACGGACCAGATATTAAGTTTATGAACAATTACTCCAAAGTGACCATTGCTGTCGCTGTCTGGCCTTTTGCCAGATGTAAGTCAATAGGGAAATTGCCACGAAACCAAAGCAACCAACAAAAGCTAGGGCTACTCCTCAAGCAGAAAAGCAGTGGTGCTACAAGCCGGTGCCTGCAAGCCAAACTGAGCCTTGCCAGTTTAGATGACTGCAAAGTGAGGATGTGGCTGCAAACACTGCTCCAAAAAAAAAAAAAAAAAAACAAACAGTACTTCAAAATGAATTCTCTTGGATGGAAAGTCAAAGTTGCTGAGGTCTCTCTTCACTCCACAAAGAGATTTTGGTGCAGTGCCCCAGTGACCACCACTAGGTATCGATTAATCTGCGTTTAAATCACCAGTCTGCAAAAAGCGGGTGATATTTGTTGTGTCCTCACTGAGGAGGTGGCAAAGCCACTGCACCCAGAGGGGAGCTCAGCTGGCGGTGCCCCGGCGGTGCCCCAGGCAGCACACCGAGACGCTGCCTCTCCCCCAGCTCCCTCACCGTGGCTCCGGGTGATGTGCCGCCGTGCTTTGATTCCCTCGTCACGGTTGTGTTTTTGTGTTGTGTTTTTTTTTGTTAACGGGAGCCCTGCAGAAGTGACTGAGGTTGTTTCTGGCAGCGCTCTGCCCGTCTCCACGGCTCAGGGCTGAGGTGCGCAGCCCCAGGGCCGTGCCCAGGAGAGGGCTTGGAAAGGTGCTGTCCATGGCAGTGGGGAATGTATCTTGCATTTTAATCGAGATAACCGCTGCAACTGAGGCTCGTAGGAGTAGCCGTGCCCCAGCTCACGACATCTGCACGGCACCAGGCATTTCTCCATCTCCTGCTACCGAGGAGAGCAGCGTCTTGCCTTCCCCACGCCCAGCTCCAGCGCCGCACAGGACCGCAGCCACAGCCCTGAGCTCGTAAAAGTCAAAAAAAAAAAAAAAAAAAAAAAAAAAAGCCGTGGTTAAAAAACCTGCGACTGGGCTGCATCGGTGGCAGAGCGATGCTGTGCGCTTCACCCCCTGCGTGCCGGGCTGGGCGCCGCTGCCCTGCCAGCCGCGGGACCGGGGGCGCGGGGCACGTCGAGGAGCCGGGGGGAGATCCCGGGGGGACGGGGAGAGGGAGCGGGGCAGGAGAGGGGGAGTTGCTGTGCCTGCCCCCTGCTCCAGGACGAGCCTGTCCTTCCATCAAACGAACAGCGCTCACTCAAGCACCGGCGGGCTTCATGGAGCTATTTTCGTTTTCTCCTTCGTTGCAAAGAGAGTGGGAAAAAAAAAAATATAATAACACCAATATTGATAATGATAATAATAATGTTAATACGTCCAGCCGGTGCTGGGGGCTGGCCAGAAGCTGCGCCTGCCCCCATAGCCTCCCTCCCCCCCCCCCCATCGGGGCAGTGGTGCCCCCCCGGGTCCCCGTCCGGAGCAGGGCTGCGGGCTGCAGGCGGGAGCCGTGCCGCAGCCCTGCGGGCGGGGGAAGGAGGGAGGAAGACGGGAATCCGTGGAAAAAAAAATGAAAATAATATAAATAAAATAAATTGAAATTAAAATGAAACAAAACTCAAGCCCCGCCGGAGCTGTGCTGGGGCTGCGGGCCAGGGGGGGCTTGTGGTGGGGCTGCCGTCGGGGAGACCCCGGCCCCGCTGCGTCCTGCGGAGAGAGGAGGGCGCCGGGCCCGGCTGCGGGCTGGGGGTAAGGAGAGGAAAGGAAAAGGAGAGGGGAAGGAGAAAGGAAAGGAAAGGAAAGGAAAGGAAAGGAAAGGAAAGGAAAGGAAAGGAAAGGAAAGGAAAGGAAGGAAAGGAAAGGAAAGGAAAGGAAAGGAAAGGAAAGGAAAGGAAAGGAAAGGAAAGGAAAGGAAAGGAAAGGAAAGGAAAGGAAAGGAAAGGAAAGGAAAGGAAGGAAAAGGGAAAGGAAAGGAAAGGAGAAGGAAGAGCGAAAGGAGAAGGAAGGGGAAGGAAAGAAAAAAAATAGGAAGAAAACGGGAAGGAGAAGCAGGGAAGGGGCCGGGGCAGAGGCACCGGAGCCCGGGCACTGCTCCGGCAGCGGCAGCCGAGGCTGCGGATGCTGGCGGCGGGGATGCTGCCGATCGCGCCCCGCTGCCTCTGGCAGCGCCGGCTGCCGGCGCCGGGCCCGCAGCGGGCGCAGGGCAGCGCTCCGTGTGCCGGGCCCGGCGGGGCTCCGCTCGCCGCCTGCCCGCCCGGCTCGGCGCGGGGCCGCTGCTGGACCCCGACCCCCCCCCCCCAGCACTCCGGTGCCGCGCCCCGGTGTTCGGTCAGCGGGATGCGGGGGGACGGGGCGGGGAGGGAGGAGAGAGGAGACCACGAATGAATGAAAGTTTGTTCAAACAAACAAATAAACAGACGGATAAACAAGCGAGCGAGCAGCCGGCCAGGTGCCGGGGCGCAGCCGAGCTCCGACCGCGGACGGGCCCCGGGGGGGGGCGCGGCAGGAGCCGGGCTCTGGTCGCGGGGGGCAGCCCCGCGGCGCCCCCGTCGGGTTTCGGCCTCTTTTCGTTGGGCCGGGGCTCAACGGTTTCCGATTCCCCCTTGTTTTCTCTTCCTTTCGGGGCTGTTTCTGCTGGGGGCCGCCCCCCGCTGCCGCCCCGGCCCCGCGCTGCTCTGGGGCCGCTCCCCGGGGCCGGGCCGAGCCCCGCGGCGCCGCGCACGTCGGGGGGCGCCCGGGGCGGGGCGGGGCGGGGCGGGGCGGGGCCGGTCGGAAAACCAGGCGCGGAGCCCCCCCCCAACACCCACCCGGAGTGGGCGTGGCCGAGCGGCGGCTGGGCGTGGCCTAGCGAGCCTTGGGGGGGGGGGGGGCTCGGCGCCCCCGCTCCGGCTCCGAATCCGAATCCAGCTCCGCGCTTTGCCGGGCGCCGCGTGCCGGCGGCCGCCCGCCCGTCCGGCCCCCGGCGGGAGCCAATCAGCGGCCGCCCGTCCGCACGTGGAGCCGGGGGGACTCAAGAGCGCCGCGGCCGCCGCTCACTCCCCCCGTGACGGGCGGCCCGGCGGCAGCGGGCAGCGCCGCGGGGGCGGCGGCGGCGGCGCCATGAGCGGCCCCTACCCGGAGGAGGGCTGCGGGGAGCGCCCCGACGGCGCCGGCAAGAGCAAGTCGCCCACGCTGCTGTCGTCCTACTGCATCGACAGCATCCTGGGCCGCCGCAGCCCCTGCAAGGTGCGGCTGCTGGGCACGGCGGCGCACAGCCTGCCCGCCGCGCTCGCCGCCCGCCCGGAGCACGACAAGGCCGCGCAAGGTGAGAGCCGGGCCGAGGGGGGCGCGGGGGGAGCCGGCCCGGGGCTGCCCCCGACGTGGGGCGCTCCCCGCGCACGCAGCGCCCCGCACTGACCGCGCCGCTCTGCGCTCTCTCTCCCTCTCTCTCTCCCTTTTCCCCCTTCCTCCCCTCCGCCCGCCCCGTCTGTCCGCAGGCTCCCCGAAGGGCAGCCCCCCCTTCGAGGCTGCCGAGCTGCACCTGCCCCCCAAGCTGCGCCGCCTCTACGGGCCGGGCGGGGGCCGGCTGCTGCCGCCGGGACCGCGGGGGGACCGCCCCGACGGGCGGCCGGAGGGGGGCGCCGCCGCCGTGCCCCCCGCTGCTGCCACCGCCGCCGCCACCGCCGCGGGCGCCCCGTGGGACACGCTGAAGATCAGCCAGGCGCCGCAGGTCAGCATCAGCCGCAGCAAGAGCTACCGCGAGAACGCGCCCTTCGTGGCCCCGCCGGCCGCCCTGGACGAGCTGGGGGGCGGCGGCGCGGCGCACGTCGAGGAGCGGCCCGGCCCCGCCGCGCCGGCCGCCGAGGAGGAGGAGGAGGAGGAGGACGAGGAGATGCTGGAGGAGGAGGACGAGGAGGAAGAGGAGCTGGAGGAGGAGGACGAGGAGGAGCTGCTGGGCGAGGACGGCGGGGGGCTGCTGAAGGAGACCCGCCGGGGCGCCGCCGCGGCCCCCGGGGCGGAGGGTGGGGAGCTGTCCCCCAAGGAGGAGCTGCTGCTGCACCCCGAGGACGGCGAGGGCAAGGACGGCGAGGAGAGCGTGTGCCTCTCGGCCGGCAGCGACTCCGAGGAGGGGCTGCTCAAGAGGAAGCAGCGCCGCTACCGCACCACCTTCACCAGCTACCAGCTGGAGGAGCTGGAGAGGGCCTTCCAGAAAACCCACTACCCCGACGTCTTCACCAGGTACCCGCGCCGACGGGGCGGCCGAGGGGAAGGGGGGGGAGAGGGGGATCAGGGGCTGTAGCAGGGGACGGGGACGCCGCGAAGGTCGCCCCCCGCCCGGGGCCGCCTCCGGCTATTTTTACCCCGCGCCGCTGCCGGGCCCCGGGATCGGTTTCGCCCTCCCCGGGCGGGCTGGAGCGCTGCCCGGCCCCGGGAAGCCCCGGCAGGGCTCGCATCAAAGCGCCGCCGCCTAAAAATACCGGCCCGGCACGGCGGGGCCCCGGGGCGGCTTCGGGGGGCCTCGGACCGGGGAAGGGGGGAGCCCGGCGAGGAGAGGCCGGGCTGCGCAGCCCGCTGCCCGAAATAGCACCCCCCGACGGGGCCGAGCCCCCCGCTGCCCGCACGCCTCGCTCCCGCACCCCCCGGCCCTTTTTTCGTTTGTTTCCCCGTATGGGGGGCGCCGGGAGCTCTCCGCCGGGCTCTTTTGCTCCTCCGCTGCCGGGCATCGCCCCGGGGGCGCCGCCTCGCTCCCCCCCAGCCCCGGCCGCAGCCCCGGGCCCGGCGGGTCGCGATCAGGTCGCGATCGGGACGGGTCCCGGCGCTTTTTTGTCGCGCTCCCGCCCCGCGTTTTCTCCCCGTGGCTGCGCCGGGACGGGACAGGCCCGAGGCGGGGGGGGCTCGGGCTAAGCCCGGGGGGCTCCTGCTTTAAGCCGGCGGCCTGAGGGCGAATGGACGGCTCCCGGTCACCATCCCCGTGCCTCGGAAAGCGCAGCGCGGCTGTGCCGGGACGGGACGGGAGGGAGCCCCGACGGGAGGGAGCCCCGCTGCTCTTGGGGCCGGGTGCGGGGTGCGGGCAGTGCCCGGAGCAGGGCAGGGGGCTGACGGCGGCGTGTGTGTCTCCCCAGGGAGGAGCTGGCCATGAGGCTCGACCTGACCGAAGCCCGAGTGCAGGTGAGTGGCGGCCGCGGGCGGCGGGGCCCCGCTCGGGATCGGGAGCGGGATCGGGACCGGGACCGGGAGCAGCGCTCGGGGCGTCCCCGCGCCCCCCCGGCCCCGCGGCGGCCGAGCCGACCCCCGGGTGCTGGAATTGAGGGGGCCCCGCGGGGTTTTGGTTGTTAGACACGGCCCCGCTCGGCTGCGAGCCGGGTACTTGGCTGCGATCAAATCTCCAATCGGGCTTCATAAAAGCCCACTTAGTGCTAGAACAAACAGGGCCATTTGAAGGCGAAATGTTGTTTGATTTCCTCTCCGCCTGCACAAGGAGCTGGCTAATGCTATTTGATTTCCCATTTTTGATAGCAATAAGCCTGCATTGATCTAATAGTGAGTGAGTGCAATGCTATTAAAGGTGTTTGCCGCCCCATACCAGAGTGCATTTCCCAACCCAAGTCTCATAACCAGAGAGACGATAAACATTGGGATGCCCTGATTGCCAACAGAAAACAGATGTCTCCGAGTTGGAAGCTGAGCAAATCACTTTACAGTTAAAATCAGGCGCTGATAAAGCATAATAAATTCCATATGGCTCATTTAATACACAACAGCTTCTTGCATTAGAGGGGCTAATGATGAGATTTGTCCCCTCCTTTCTGTTGACACATTTCTCCATTGTCAAACAGAGATGTGACAGCAAATCAGTATTTTCAGCTCAGGGGAACAAGTCGTGGGAAAGTTAAATAACTTTTAAAAAAGAAAGACACCCCCTTTCTCTCCCCTATTCACGGGAGAAGATGTAATTAAGGGAATATGAATTATGAGAGCCCCTCCGTTTACCTTTGGGTGTACTCAGACTTATTAATTCAATAACGGGGAATTGCAGCGAGGACAGCTCGCTAATTGAGTTTTAGCTGGCAGAGACGATCCGTTTGCCAAAGACTCTCGGCTTCCCCGCGAGCACGGCGCAGCCTCTTCCTACGTGCGCGCCCCGGTGCGCGCCTGGCTATAAATTATAGATGGGGACTGTAGCGAGGGACCCGCAGCGCTGCCGCCTCTATCGGATCCGGGGAGACGGGGCATCGCGCTGCTCCTACAAAACGGAGCCGAGCCTCAAAGGGGAGATTTTGAGCCGGCGGCAGCCCGAAAATCTGACAAATGCGAGTCCCTCTCCAAGCCTCTCGCTGGGTGCGTGTGGCACCCTGCGCTCGCGTTTCAGCGAGCGTGTCTTGCCCTTCGGCGAGCGGTGCTTTAATTCCCACTGCCTCTCCCTTGGTTAAAGCCCGGGCTCCTCGATGATTGTTAATTTTTTTGGTTTGTTTTGGAGGGGGGGAAGAGGAAAGGGACAGCGATTCCGTGGCTTCCGAACTAAGTTTTGTAAAATACACTCTGGAAGCACAGCGTGGAAACGCACATTTGCTGCTTCGATCGCGCTGCAATTTATTTCCTCGTTGCAGACACTGGCGAAGTCACGATTTTTTCGTTCTTAACCTTTTTTTTTTTCTGGGGGGGGGGGAGGAGAAGGAAAAAAAAAAAAAAAAAAAAAGGAACGAAAAAGGCGGTGACCCCTAACGCCGCCGTTTGTGTGTGGTCACTTTGGCGAACCCAGGGCGCGTTTCTCCGCCTGGGGCGCGCCCGGCGCTCGCAAGGAGCCCCCTGAGGGGCAGCCCCGAGGCCCGTGCGGGCAGGGCCGGCGGGGGGCGCGTTGCGGCGGCCCCGGGGGGGCGGCGGCGGAGCAGCGGGCGCCGTCGGGCCGGAGCGCGGCGGTGGCGGCGGCGGGGCGAGCGGTGCTAAACCCCGTGTTTCTTTTGGCTTGCAGGTATGGTTCCAGAACCGTAGGGCTAAGTGGCGGAAGAGGGAAAAGGCTGGGGCTCAGACACACCCCCCAGGTTTGCCTTTCCCTGGTCCCCTGTCAGCAACTCACCCCCTCAGTCCATACCTTGATGCTAGTCCTTTCCCTCCTCATCACCCAGCTCTAGACTCCGCCTGGACCGCCGCCGCCGCCGCCGCCGCGGCCGCCGCCTTCCCCAGCCTGCCCCCGCCGCCGCCCGGCTCCGCGGCGCTGCCCCCCGGCGGGACCCCGCTCGGCCTCGGCACCTTCCTGGGGGCGGCCGTGTTCCGGCACCCCGCCTTCATCAGCCCCGCCTTCGGCAGGTACCGCCTCGCCCGGGGCGGGGGGGTTGCGGCGCGGCGCCGGCCGCCTCGGTGCGCCGAGCCCCCGCGAGGGGCGCCCCGACGGCGCCCCCGGCCCGGGAGCGCCCGGCGGCGGCGGCGGTGGGGTGACGGCGGCCTCTCTGCTTCTGCTTCCCTTGCAGGCTCTTCTCCACCGTGGCCCCCCTGGGCAGCGCCTCCAGCGCCGCGGCGCTGCTGCGGCAGCCGGCGCCGGCCGCCGAGGGGGCGGTGGGCTCGGCGGGGCTGGGGGACCCGGCCAGCGCCGCCGCCGACCGGCGGGCGTCCAGCATCGCCGCCCTGCGGCTGAAGGCCAAGGAGCACGCCGCCCAGCTCACCCAGCTCAACATCCTCCCCGGGAGCAGCACGGGGAAAGAGGTGTGCTAAGATCCGGGCGCCGTCCTTGCCGCTTTTCGTTTGCGTTCGTTTCAGTTTCCCGGGGGGGATTTTTTGGGGGGAGCGAGAGAGAGGAGAATAAATTCGCGAGTAGGGAAAGGTCACCTCGTAGCACGAATCAAGACCAAATGGGGGAAAACGTTTCTTTTTCTTTAAAAACAAATACAAATAATAATCATAATAATAATAAAAAAAAAGTGGACCAGCAGCTAAGACTGGGGTAGGTTCCCGAGGTAGGAGCTGGAGGACAGCGAGCGCGTCGCACGTCGGTCAGCCCTCGCGCCAGTGAGCGGAGCGATGCTCGCAGGCTCCCGAATCCGAAACTCCTTGGCTGGTACATTTCCTAAATGCACAACGTGTTAATTTCCTCGCTGAGCATCAAGCGAAAAAGAGAAAAAAAAAAAAAAAAAGAAAGAAAAAAAATAGCCCTACCTAATAAAATTTACTATATATTAGCGTTACGTACACTTAAAGATTTTTCCTTCCGTTTATCTGGCAAGACAAAAAAAAAAAAAAAAAAAAAAAAAGCGAAGAAAGGAATCGAAAATTGTAATTGAGAAAGGAAATTGAGAAGGGGGGGAGGGGGGAAGGGGCTGCCCGCACCTCTCCCAGCCCCGTCCTGCGGTGCTGGGCTGGCCTGCTGGGCGCACTGGGGAACCGTCGCACACGGCGCTGCTGCGAGCCGCGGGTGCTCACCGAGGATGCTGCCAGTGCAGAACGAAAGTGAATTTGATGCTGTAAGATAACCAGTGCACTTAAGGGAGAGGGTATATCTTTTTCTCGTTATATTCTTTATCACTACACCAACCAAGGTTTTTATATCAAACCAAAGGGAAATACACTGCTAGAATATGGACTGTTTAAGTCACTAAACTGTGATTATTGATTCTGTACATACCATTGTTATAAAAAAGAACAGAGCTTTGTATATTTGAAATGTTATAAAACAATTGCACTCAGTGTAGTGTTGTAAAAGTTTGTCATTCTGTAGATTCTTACTGTGTTGTAGATATCATAGGGGTCCTAGACAAATATTTATGTACAAACCCTTTATTTAACTTATTAACTGTAGAGGTTTCTGAAACCCTCAAGAGGCGATGGTACAGTACTTTTCCGTGTAATGTCGTTATTGTTAATACTTTTCCTTTGCTATCCGGTGGAGAAGTGCCACGTTCAGAAAATAAACAACGATATATGTTTACCAAAAGAAAAAAAAAAGAAAAAAAGAAAAAAGAAAAAGAAAGGAAAAAAAAAAAAAAAAAAGGAACGAAAGCAAAAGAACAAAACGCCACAACGCAAAGTCCTTGCGGGGGCGCCGGGGGCTTCGCCCCGCGCCCCCCTCCCGGCCGGGCCCCCCCGGGGTTTCGGGGACCCGGGGCCGGGGCCCCTCGGAGGCGGCGGGGCCGGGCGGGGGGCGCAGCCCCGGGGTGGGGGGCTCGCAGGGGGCAGCGCCCGCCCGGGTCTCGCCCTCCGAGCGCCGCCGCCCCGGGATCAGCGCCCTATTTCTACCCCACCCCCCCACCCCCCCGTTGTATTTTTCTTGCTCCCCGTTATTTTTATTTTATCGCTTGGAAGCAGCCTCCTGGCGTCCCAGCGCCGCCGGGGTCGGCAACCCCCGGCTCCGCTCCGCGCATCCAGCGGGGCCGCGGACGGCTCCGGGAGGGTTTTGGGGGATTTTGGGGGGGTTTGGCCGGCGGCGGGGCGCTCTCGGGGCCGCCCCGTCGGGGCCCCGGCCGCGACCCTGCCCCGCTGCGTTTCCCTCCCCCCCGCCCTGCTTTAGCGTTTCAAAAAACACCAGAGGCGCAAAAGAAAAAAAATCTGTATTTTTTTTTAAAACGGTTTTTTATTTTTATTTTTTTTTGATGGGGAAAATAACGCTTGTTCCCTGGACGTTATTAACGGTGCGGTCTGAAATATACATTTTTTGCCGTAAAGAAAAGGGAATCATTATCGAGCCATTACGCATTAAGAAATGTCATTCAGTCATTTTTATTCATTCGGCTGAAATCTTCGTAAAAGCCAGAATCATACTTCTGCAAGCAGCAATTTTGTTAATCCAGGGGGTTATTACTCTGGTCCCTTATTAGGATCTATACTGCTGCCAAGCAATCCTATAACCTTCTCAAAAGAAGTTTACCTCCGTGTTATAAAACCAGTAGTGGTATTTATACTGTGCAATAATTAGTGTATTACTTGAATCCACTAACAGGTTCATTTTATCTCTGCACAAAACCCCTAGTCTGCTTATAGAAAGCTTGTGCCTCCTTTGGCGCTGTTAAAGTGGTGAAAGAGTGAATGAAGGCTGGTAGCACTTTCTCCTTTTGCCTTGCCTTAATTCCCATCTCTTTTTGCTCTCATCCAATTAGTGCAGTGTATTAAGCGGTTTATCATCTCATAGTCAGCTATTGAGAGAAACAAGGCGAACACTTTGCAATAGAGCCTGCTCTCCTTTGACACCCTCAGGTACTTACATATTCCACTGTGCTATGAATAATAGAGGAAGAATAGAGCGCTAATTCCCTCATCAAAGAATGCCTTGTCTGCTGCTTTGCTCAACAACACCATTCTGATCAAAAGAAAAGCAATAAAGCTTAGCATAACAAAACGAAACCTACTTATTAGCTTAGTGGTTAAATTAATGCAGAGCCGCTGCTATTCAAAACCAAGGTTTGAAAACAGCCTCCAACAACCTGATAATGCTGCCTTCGGGATGAAGGAATGTTAAGCTGCAACCTGAAGCTGGCACAGATGAGTTCATCCATTAAAGTGCCACGGGGAGGGCCGCCGCCGGCCGCTCGGGCCCGCAGCGCTCCGGGTGCCCGCCGGGGGGCTTCACCCCGCCGGGGGGGGCTCGGCCGGGCCGGGGGCCGACCCCGGGCCCCATGGGGGGGTCACGAAGACCCCCCCCCCGGGCGCCCCTTGCGCCAACACCCCGAGCCCCGCCGGTGCACGGGCTCCTCCGCGCTCAGGGTGCCGCAGCCACCGCCCCACCGGCAGGCCCCCGGGTTGGGGCACGCCTGGAGCTTCTCCGGGGCTTCCTGCCCAGTTCACGGCAGGAACATCTCCGTCATCCTAATGGGGTCGGGCACTAAAGGGCTCGTTACTTGTGGTAAACCTGGGTGAGGTTACAGCAAGCCCGTGTCTTCAGAGGAGCCGCAACGCTGATGCCCTCCTTCCTCCCAACCGCCCGCTCCCCAAAAAGTCTCCTCTGCGAGCGCCCAGGTGAACACCCTGGGAGAGGATGACGGCTCGCAAACACCAGCACAAAGAAGCAGTTTCTCAGATATTGTGATTAAACTTTAGGGTGGTGAGGCCCTGGCACAGGTTGCCCAGAGAAGCTGTGGGTGCCCCATCCCTGGAGGTGCTCAAGGCCAGGCTGGATGGGGCTTTGGGCACCCTGGGCTGGTGGGAGGTGTCCCTGCCCACGGCAGGGGGAGCGCAACTAGGAGGTCTTTAAGGTCCCCTCCAACCCAACCCTTTTTCTGATTCTATGAAAACCCCACGGATTCAGCCCCAGAGTCACTGTGTGTGTAGGCCCATTGGAGCAGACATCGCCCATCTCGGCACATGGCATCTTCCATTGCTCTGTGCAGCTCCCACCTGGGGACAAATGGAAGCCACACAACCCACCAACCCAGACACGCACATCCCTTCAGTGCCCAACGCCTTCTTGTTGATGTTCTTATTTTTTTATTTGAGCTTCGTTAGGCATCCTAAAAATGGACATTTTCCCTGTCAACCCAGGGAACATTTTGAGCAACCTCAGGTAGCACATTTCTAGTAGGCAGATGATCCAATCCAATTCTCTTTTTCTAGAAAATTTTATTTTTTCTTTCAAGTGCTAAGAAAATTTACATTTTATGCTGTTAAAGATTTAAAAAAACATTTTAATAACCTTACATTAACGTAACAGATTGCAAACTTAACGGCAAACATGAGTACAACAGTATTTGGTGTACAAAAGCTCTACCCAAATTTATGCTTTTTTCTTGTCATGTCTGCTTGTCGCTTTACTAAAAGTAAACAGAAAATACAATTTGTTTACAAAACCTTTAAAACCACCGATACAGTAATTATTATACAGAACAGCAACAATGATTCTCCCTCCTTCCCTTCTCCCGTTACTGGTTACAATGTCATCCAAAATATATTTCTCCCTATTGATCGCTTGCTTTCAAATATTTTGCATGGAAAGAAATTAAATACATTTTTATTCTGTGTATGTACAAAGGATTTTTTTTTGTGCATGTGCATGGCTATACATCCAGGTAAGAAATTTCCAACCTGGCAAAATAGCACGCTTTAAGATGCACAGGAAGACTCCCAGCGAAAAGATGGTCCCCTGGTTTTGGTGCCTCCAGCCTCCCATCCTTCTTTCCCGTTCACACAGTTGAAAGTAAAGCGTCCCTACCTCCATTCCGAAGGTAGGAGGACACTGAAAGGCATTTAGGTTTAGCATTGTTTTTAATTGGTATGTTTATGATCAGGAAGAAGATAAACTGTGAAAAGGCAAAACATTAGTGCTCCTACTGAGACCTCTACTAACCTCTCTTCCTGAGAGCACCTCTACTAAATACCCTGGAGCAAAGTCTAGGATCACTTACATTCCAGCAACTCTCACTGGGAATTATCCAATTAAAGCAGCAATTCCCCCACCCCCTTTTCCCTCATAGGTCTACATACACAACAAAATATATTGCAAAAATCAACTACTCCATATTTGAATAGCCCTGGCTTCTCGGCGAAGAAAAGAAGCGAAGATAAAAACCGCCTCGAGTATTTCAGGTCCCCGTGGATCATGTGTCCCGTTTTCATCTTTTGTTCTTCCTCCACCAAAGGAACAAGATTGTTAAAACATCATTGTGCATCCCGAAACAGGCTGTTGCTTAAGAGGGCGTTATTTTTAAGCAACGAGCTCGCCTCTCTGCTCCCTCCCTTTTCAGCCCATCACTGTCTTTCATTGTTGGGCTCTCCCGCAGATCTTCCTATGCTGATGGCAAAGAGCTTGCCCAGGTTCACTTCTGAGTAGCCACTCATGGACAGACACTTGTCCACCGTGCTCTTCAGTCTTCTGTAGGCCTCAATCACCTCCTTTCTGAGCGGCTTCTTCTTCACGTGCTCTGAAAGAACGAAGAAACAAAACAGAGAAGGATTAAAAAAACGCAAAGAGAAAGGACTTTGGCATTCACCGCTGTTGCGAAGCACGGCATTTCGACTCGAGGAGAAAGGAGGAGACAGTGGTGGGCAGTGTTCATGTGTTCACAGGCATTCGGGGCAAGAGCACCGAGAGGCTCTACGAGAGCCCAGGCCAAAACGAGCCGGCTCCTGGACGTAATGAGAACTCCACAGAGCCCCCGAGGACAATTTGCCTGCCGCGAGCTTGGCTGCAGATCAGTCGAGGGAACCACGCTGCGATTCCCGAGCCCCTGCTGGCGCTGGCACAGCCTGGGGCCGACTCGACGCCGCTGCCGCGTGCTCCCACGCACAGCCTGGGGGCAGGACGGGCGTCGGGGTGCTCGGCCCTACGGAGGGGCTGGGAGGAAAGGCGGCAGTAAGCTCCACACGGTCCCACCCTACAACAAAGGTGCCCAGTTTCTCAGTAAGGATGCATCGTGTCTGCCTGGCACACGAATGGAGACAGTCATTCCCCAAATATTTGCTCAATAATCCCCGTGAAGAAATGTCCGGAGTGCAAGACATTGCCTGCTGGTGGGTTGGTGTGTGCAAGCTCACGCACACACGTACCAGTTTGTACGTATTTAAGCAGCAGTGAAGCCAGAACTGTTCTACTTCATATTTTTGTGTGTGTGTGAAATTTTATGCCATCTAAAAAAAGAAATCCAGGGATTTTGTTTGGGCGATTGCCTGGCTTTTGCTTTACAAAGGCTGTGGACAAAGGCTAAAAGAGGAAAATATGCTACTGATGCACGTCGGTGCCAGCTTGGTGCAGATGTGGTGCAGCGGTGCTCCTCCTTTCAAGCCAGCTCCTTGCCCTAGAAATACCAGCTCCTCTCCGAACCCCCACCTGCAATCACACCTTGAAATCGGCATCGCTGGGCACCCCGCGTTACTACCAGGCACCCAGGGAGGATGTAGCCCCAAGGAAGC